TACATAGAAACCATTCGCTGGGCGGGTGTTTTACAAAAAGTAAAAACTCAAGCAGCCTCATTCAGAGAAATAAATAAGCTGAAAATGGTAACTTAGTTCTTTTTTAAGGTAGTAGGTAAGAAGTTTGCTTAGAACAAGATATGAACGATCACTTAACCTTCTCTCATTTAAAAAACTTTCGTCACTTCTAATTGTTGGTCATATCATTTAAGTACAAAGTAAAAAGATCGGTAGACTAGGAACATCTAAATGTATATGAGCGCACCTTACGATTTAAATAAGATATAGAAATTGTACCCACCATTGAAATTCTTATTTTTCAAAAAAAAAACATGTCTATAGAGATTGTATAATACTTTCATAATTGTAAATTTCAATAATATTTACACAAAAAAAAAAAGTCGGAATTTTATTATACAATTAACCTTTTGATATAGATAAAATTTTAAAATAGAATTTCACTAAAAGTATCAGAGTTCTGTCTATATTTCAACCAAATTATAACATAGACTCATATCTTCTTGGTCTAAAGGACCTCCTACTTATAGATCAAAAACTTTGAATCACTTTGGATGGATTGTTCGTAAGATATTCATTCGATCTTTAAACAACAAATCCTCACAATGACACATACTCTCTCATTCAATACATTATAGCGCACAGCTGGCAATTCTGTTCTGTATATATTCAAAAAACAAAAACCTATAGACTATAAAAGCGAACTATTTCAACATAGGAATAAAATTTGCATAACTTTTTCCTCGATTGATTACATACATCATTATGTGAAATACAAGATTTAACGATGGTTCAATCAAGAAATGTTTTTTTTTTTAGCAAGAAAAAGAAAAAGAATCCCTTGACCGATGATGAACTATGTGTCCGTCAACTAACCAGGAAAGAAAAAAAAAATCTAGACAATATATTACTGCATGAGAGAAAAAGAAACACTGACATGCGTCGCTTTTTTTTATCAAATAAAAACTAAAGTAGCGGTAACACCTGTCTTACAAAAAAAGAAAGACAGATAGAACGATTGCATAAACCATTTAAATTATAAATTATTTCGATTGAACCAACTGAACATACTTAAAATTTGAAGAGACAATACAACTGATGTATACATTATATTAATCTATAGAATATATAAAACAATCTATTAGAATTTAAACGTCCGCGTCTTAATATTTGAAGGATTTTAGAATTAGTAAGAACGAAACGTTGAGTACGTGTTCATACACATACTCAATTGTTCTTACATCTAACTTCAAGATAGCAAGTTATTGAACCTGACACATACAAAAATATTTAGACAAAATCATTATATAATGGATGTAGGAGAAAGACAAATGCTGTAACTTTGAAAATAGTAGATAACTTATTTTATGTAGAAATGCTCTTATGTACATAGGTATTATTAAAACCTTACGTAATGGACACTTCACGATCTCACGGAATGATTTTTCCTGGAAATGAACTTTTCTATAGTGAATACTGTCATATAGTTCTATGATGGATACTTTCGAAAAGTTCCAATGATGTCTACTACAGAGAAAATTTTTTAACAATTATTAATTTTCCAACAAAAAAGCATGGAGGCGATTGTTTGTTCAATAACTCGACAATGCTGATAGCTATCGAGCTCGGATTTTCGCCATTAGAAAGAGCACGAATGGGAGTACAAGTCTACTCGAGAATTAAAATACTTGAAAAGTTTTAGCCAAAAAGGATGTTCCTTTCTCGAGATATTAGATTTTCAATTTCATTTGAAAATATACCTAATCAGACAGTGATTTTACAAAAAACATTTTGATTCTTAGGTAGACTTGTATTCTCCACTCATGCTCTTTGTAACGGCGAAAATTCGATTTCGATAACTATCAATGTTACTAAGTTATTCAACAAATAATCGAATCCATTCTTTTTTGACATGGATAATAATTATTTTATTTACTAATATCTTTCAGATATTTAAACAATGTGTCTGTTTCTTATGAAAAAAACTTTATTTTTAGAAAAAAAATAACCTAATCTTTTTACAGTAGACACTTTTGAATTTTTTTTTATATGTAAATATTAATACTTGAACGTTCCGTATCACTAACATGTTACTTGTTTGACGATGCGAATGTCTTTGATGAAAGCTGTTGTGTATATATATGAATAAGATGACAGATCAATAAATCAACATATATTTTAATAAAATATGTTTAAGTACATAAACTTCACATCTCTTTACTTTCTATGAGAAGTAAATAAATTTTTTAATTAGAATATTTAAAATTGGCCATTGGTTTTTTTTTCTATATTCGATGTTAATAACTTACCAATATATTCTATCGGATGTTAATAGTATCAATCATTAAAGATAAGTTGTTGTTATAAATGTAGCAATTAATCATGCTGTTATCTGTAAAGGAAAAACCTTATTGTTTAATACACCAGGTGAAGTCAGTGCTTGGAACTAAAATTAGTATTTGAAGATTATTAACAATTACAACTTGTATTGTTGTTATAGCATTATGCCAAAATACCTTTTTCAAGAGTATTAAATACATGTTTACAATACCTTCGTTTGCATTTAATTTTTAACTAAATCATATTGGATTAATAAGGAAAAAAATGAATTAACTGATATAAATTTTTATATCATCTTTCTTTTTTCGTGTACCAATTAAAAGAAAATCAATCGTTCTTCTTCTTTTTCTGCATAGATATACATAACAAGAAGAATGTATCTATGAGGAACCAATTGAAAATTCTATATGAATACACAGATGTCACTTCTATATATTATCATTAGAATTGATGAACGATGAACATGGAAATAAAGAGAAAATTAACGTCATATTTACCTTCCTTTTTGTGTGTGTGTGTGTGTGTTTAATTTTTCAATGTTGAACGTTTCAGTTTTCATTATTATTAATAGAACAATAAATGATCTTCTCAGTACAACACTATAGGAATGCATTAGGTGAAAAGATAGAAGTAAAAAATCTATTTGATAATGTACTGTTGAAATATTGAAAAACTTTACGGCTCATTTTTATAGAACTTGAAAATTTCTATTGCATAGTTATATCTAATAATTTTCTCAACAAATTTGTTTTTGTTTTCAATTTAAGAGAACAAATTCTTTTTTTATGTTCGCAAATCAAACGATTTATTCGAGACAAAAGTTCCTCTTTTGCAAGTTTGTGATTCAATGTAGAATAAGTTTAATTTAATTATGTCAAAATACTTTTTTACTTTTGATCGAGTTAAAATCACAAGAGAAAATTTGTGGTTGACATAAGCCTTGCGTCCAGAGAATAAAATATATCACATGAATTCGAACATATTTCATTGTAATTGAAATTGTGTTTTAGTAAAACGATAACAAATAGCAGAGATTCTGAAAAGAAGCTCATTCATTCTGTCGCACTCATTATAAAATGCTTACATTTTATCGTTAAATCAACTGTGAAAAATTTTCAAGTGGTTTCATTGTACACGGTTGGAAAAAATATTATTCCAGGGGGGTAACGCTATAATTTCAAATAGAAGACATAATAAATTTTATATTAAATGAAAGCTCGTTAAAAATGGGGTTTACTGGTATTAAATAGTGAGGGTTATGAAAACCTTTTAATGTAGAGCTTAATAAATTTTCAGAAATTTTATACTTTTTTTGGGATGGAAAATTAAAGCACTAGTGATTCAAGAATGAAGTAAAATGTTTTTCTTGAATATTTTTACACGGTTCGATAGAGCTCGTCGAGCTCTATAAAACTGTATACATTAAAAAATTTTTAAGATACTTTTTTGGCGATAAAAAATTCAAAAAACTATTTGGAAAATCTTAGAAAACATGAAAAAAATTCATATTTTTCATGTGGAAGAACAACACTTACTTTTTCAATAAAAGTAGCTTTTTTCATTGTTTTTACTCCGTCAGGCGTTTCGAAACATACTCATTAGATGCAGCTTTTTACACTGCATCGAACGAGTATATTTCGAGACGTCTGAGGTAGTAAAAACAACGAAAAAAGCTACTTTTATTGAAAAATTGAGCGTGTTTCTTTAATTTGAAAAAAAAAGAGTTTTTAAATGTTTTTGAGGTTTCCCGAGTAGTTTTTTGAACTTTTTATCTCAAAAAGATGCCTCAAAAATTTTTTAACATGCACAGTTTTGTAGAGTTCAACGAGGTCTATCAAACCATGTAAAAATATTCAAGAAAAAAATTGACTTCATTTTTGAATCAGTGGCACCTTGATTTTCCACCCCAAAAAAATATAAAATTTCTGAAAACTTCTTAAGTTTGACATTAGAAAGTTTTTACAAGCCTCACTATTTAGTATCAATAAACCCCATTTTTGACGAGCTTTCATTTGATATAAAATTCATTATGTCTTCTATTTGAAATTATAGCGTTACCCCCCTGGAATAATATTTTTTCCAACCGTGTACATAAAAAAAAAAGAGAAAATATTTTTGTTACAATTTGCATGATTTGTGAGTTATGACATTCAACAATAATAAAGATTTAGACAATGGTCAGAAGGTTTCTGATGCTTACTATACGCTTTAAACATCAGTATTAATCATATTTTATAAAGAGATCAAAATAGAATTTAAAATCACTTTGAAATAAAAAAACGTTATGTGAAGCAAAAAACGCTTTAAATTTAGTTTCAAAGATCATAATCGATAAAAAATTTTGTTACTTCTTCTATGTAAATGAAGTACCAAATATATTATGATACAATTCTCTATAATAAAATTAAAATGATAAAAAATGTTAAATGCTTATAATAACAAATTCCGTCATCAAAAAAGACGACTAAAATATAACATATAATAAAATAATTCATATTAGACAAAAATGATTATATATACAAAAAAAAAAAGACATTCACTTAAAAGTTCTGTATTAATAATAATTAAATTCTTTGACAAATCGCTTTCTTTTGTATTCAGATAAGCAAAAACTCGAAAAAAAAATAAGATCACATTATTATCTATGACTGTACATTTCTTTCCATCGTCAATACATAAGCAAAAAGAGCATAAAGACCAACAATAAAATATGCTCCTCCTGGTAATGTGTAAGCCAAAGCCAAACGTTCAGTTTTTTCTGAAATCAAACCCATCAATGGTGTAAATATAGCTCCACCAATTATTGCCATAATAAGAAGACAACCAGCTAATTTCGCTGTATGTCCACTCATACCTTTAATACCTAAAGCAAATATTGTTGGAAACATAAGTGACATAAAGAATGATGTAATAAAAAGTGCTACAAGTCCAATTCTATTTGGCATAAGAACAGTAATAACAATAAGTAATACATTAATAAAAGCAAATGTAGCTAAAAGTATTGATGATGAAAGTCCACAATGCATAAGTAAAGCAGCTATAAAACGGCCAAGTGCAAACATAATTAATGTACCAGTTAATAAATAACCACTAATTTTTTCTCCAACTTGAACATAATCTTGAGCATATTGTATAAAATATGACCAAGTACCAACTTGTGCACCAACATAAGCAAATTGTGCAATAATAGAAAATAAAAATAAACCTCGACAAAGAGTATTTACTCCATCAGATTTTTTATTTTCTTGATTTTTTCTTATTTTTGTATTAGTTGGAAATGGTACAATAGCAATAAATAAAGCCCATAAATATGCAACACCACCAATTATAACATATGGTCGAATAACACGTAATGTTTCAGTTTTTAAATAATTATCATATGTATTATTAATACGCATTTGTTCAATTTGTTTTTCATTTAATTCAACACCAGAAAATATAAATAATGTTCCAATAAGTACACCTGTTATAGCACCTAATGGATTAAATGCTTGTGCTATATTAAGACGTTTTTCTGATGAATGTTCAGGTCCAGCTGCATTTGCTATAAATGGATTAGCTGCAGTTTCAAGAAAAGCTAAACCAGTTGCAATAATAAATAGAGAAATTAAAAAAAATATATATTTTCCAATATATGCTGCTGGCCAGAAAAGAAACGATCCAGTACCAAATAGAATTAAACCCATAATAATACCAGTTTTATAACCCCAACGACGAAGAATAATAGCTGCAGGTAAAGCCCATATAAAATAACCCATATAAAAAGCTGATTGAACAAGACCAGCTTCAAAAGGAGATAGAACAAAAGATTTTGAAAATTGTCGAATAAGTACACCATTTAAATTATTTGGTATACCCCAAAGAAAGAAGAGAAATGTAACAAGAATAGTTGATAAAAATTGACATTTAGTTTTAGATTGTGATTGTACTTCATTATTTATATGTTTATTTTCATCTAAAATAGGTTCAGTTTCAGGTATATATTCAATATCTATTGTTTTTGAATGTTCATCAATAGTCTTATTATTATTATTAAGAATAATTTGTGTAAGACTTGGATGTGATTCATTAAGAATTTTTGTAAATTCAATTGCTATTTGTTCACCAATATGATTATCACTTAAATCAAGTGAAATTAATGTTGAATTTGTTCGTAATGCATCAGCAATAAGTGCTCCTCCATCTGATGAAATATTATTATGTGTAAGAGATAAATATTTTATAGTATTATTATGTTTGATAAGACTAGCAATAGTTGCAGCATCAATATTATTTAAATTAGTTAATATTAAATTTTGTATACTTTTATTTTTTTTTAAACCTTCATTAAGAATTTGATCAAATGAATAAACATGTAAAAGAACTGAATCAAAAGTTAATTCAATTAAATAAATTTGTTTACGTAAATATTCAGCTAATATTTGAGCATCACTTTCATATAATTGAAGATCAATTAATGATAAACAACGTAAACGAATATCAGTAAATATTGAAGTCCATAGAGATGAAATAATTTTTAATCTACCATTTGAACTTAATATAACATGAATATCTTCATTCGTATCTGATGAAGATAATATAGTAGATGATGATGATGAAAAATTTTCACCGGATATTCGTATTTCAAGCATTTCTTTTTCTCTACAATACAAAAACAAAAATGTGAAAAAAAAACAAATACATGATTATATCGACTCTTGGTTTACTTGCTTTTTTTTTTCTTTTACTCTCTTCACAATAAGTAGGAAACAACCTTGCGAGAACGAAAGCACGCGTGTTTGTCATATATAAGTACAGAAGAAAAAGAATTTGTTTTCAAAGAATAGAAAGAGTAAAAAAAAAAAAAGAACATTAGCTCTCTTTGTAGGCATATTCACGCAATGAATATATATGAAAGAAATATGAATAATTTTGATACTTATTTGAAAATGTAGCAATAAATATATTCTGCATGTGATCGAATGTTAATAACGCAATACTGAATTAGTAGATTAAATCTAAATTCTTTTCATATATGAAACATTTTCTTCATTAAAACATCATTCTTGTTTTTCTTTTTTTTATATGAGAAATAGTTTTGTTTTCTCAATGTTAGACATAAAAACTATTTTTGAAGTGTTTCATAAAAAAAAATAAATGTATTCAAAATAAGAAAAACTGATGATATTTAATTTGAAAATTATATATAATATAAAATATTGTTTTCTCTATAATATTTTTCAGATTTGAATATTAAAATTTCAAGAATTTTAATATTTATCAATTTTCGAAACTTAACTTCTTCAGAGAGATAAATTAATCTCTAAAGTTCCAACCATGTATACATCGAACTCAAACTTTGACTTGATGTTCGGAACGATCTGTTCGTATTCGTATATTTCTAAATACTATTGACTTTGTTTAGGATATCTGTAGACCTATCATAGGCAAGCCTGTAATCCTTTTTTTTGGCTTCCTTCTATTAATTAACTGAAAAATGACCGAATTCGAATGTTTGAGTTCAATGCATGTTTAATTCTAGTAAAATTCTTTTTAGCTTAGTTACTTTTTATTGAATAAATGATTAGAAATTATCCTACAAAATGTACTATTTGAAGTTCTTATTGTTTTTCCTAAATACTCATTTTTAAAAAATCGGTAATTGTTTTACGTGAAAAGCAGTTCTTGAAAAAAATGCTCGTAACCTCACTCGGATAAAAGTTACAACTTAGTTCAATATCATATTTTTTTTAGAGAAGTGTCTTGGTCATAGTATAGTTGTACGTCTTGCTCAAAGTCAATTAATTGGTTCAGCATCAGAATGGATTTGATCTCTTACACTTTGGCATTGGAATGGAAATTTAAGTGCAATGGCATCATGGGCTTATTATATACTTTATTCAAGTACAAATCCTACTGGTTATGGAAATTGGCAATGGTCTCGAGAATTACATTATATAACAACACGTGATTGAGAATGTGTTTATAAACCGGAAAGAGATTGAACTTGATGATATACAACAGAAAGAAGCATTATATTTTCTTATTCATTTTATTGGTGATATTTATCAACCATTACATACGACTTTTGCAAGTGATAGGGGAGGAAATCATGTTCGAGATTGAGTATATGAATTAAAAATTTAAAAGAACTGCCCCCCCCCTCTCTCCCCCCCAAAAAAAACAGTTAGTTTTATTTAGGTTATTTTATGAATGAAATATTTCAAACAAACCTTCATGCTCTATGGGATGTTGACTTAATGATGGTGCGTCTTGAACGAGATTTTCAACAGGATACTTCTTGTTATTATGATTATATTTATCAATTAATGCTGAATCAATCATCTTGTAATAATGATGATGACAATAATATTGAACAATTGGTTAAAAAAAGTTTTAATTTAGTTTGTACACAAATTTATTTCGATGAAAATAATGAATTCATCAGTTAATTTTTATTTGGAAGAAATTTATTATCAAAAATATATACCAATTATTGAACAACGTCTTGCTCGTGCTGGTCGCCGACTTGCTACATTTCTTAATCAATTAGCACCAAAATCGTCCGCAAAAAAACATCGGATAATAAAGCAAAACTTTGTTCTCATATAATTGCTCTTACTATTTTACTATATATGAAAGGTATGTTAGTTATTGTTGTGAGGGTTATCACATGGATTCGATATAAGAATAAATCATTTTTTGATGAATAAAATTTTACTTATAATTTATTAAGATTAAATTTAATATACGAATTTCTATTGAAAATTATATTTGAAATTTCTTTTGACAACGTTTTAACCTCGAAAAGGACAGTTTCTGAGATCTTCTCTATATAAAAAAAAAAACTCGCATTTTTTATCTTTTTTTTCAGAATATTTCCTGAGTTTTCGCATGACACAACTACTCGAGTTTATTCGAAATACGATCAATATGACGAAATCGAAAATTTTCCACTTCAAACTTATTTTTAGTGGTATAGGTTATTTTTTATATTCATTGATATTCTTAATCCCTGATTGAAGAGTCAATATTTTCAGAATAGTTTACTCTTAGTTTTTAATTCTTTCGTTGACCATTTCATTTCTTCCATTAGTAATGAAAAAAAAAGAGGCGTCTTGTAGGTATAAAAAAAAAGATACTCTCTAAACGTAAAAACCTATTTCATCGAATGCGCAGTAGTTGAAAACCTGTGAGAAACTAAAATAGTAAGGAAAAAGGATGAATATTTAAGAGAAAATCAATATTTAATTTTGTTTTACCTTTTTCTCAAAATCTAATTTTATACTAAAAAAAACACTGTTTCGCCGACACACCAAGAGGTCTCGAGCTGGAACTTCCTTCAACTGTATTAGCTACTATTTGACGAGGGTATGTTTTTTTTTTAATTTCAAAAACTATTGCTCTGGTAATTTTGGTAGCTTTTCGAAGAAACGGGAGCAAAAAGAGAGGTCATTTTGACCAATTGTTAGTCTAATATCTCGTGAAAGGTAGCACAACTTTTGCTTTACTCTTCAAGATCTATCTGCCATGAAAGTTTCGAATTTTTCTGATCAGCCGTTCTCTAGAAACCTTGGAAAGAGAAGAAGAAAAAATCAAATTCCTCTTACGTGATTGTCAAGCTATCTGATGAAACCGATCGGTAAATTTTTTTATATGATTTATTGACTCATTGCAATATCATTAAGAAAATATCTCTTCGAAGGAACATTCGATCAACTTATGAATAACGGAAGAACTATTTGAAGTATTATGTAGGCAAATTCTTGACTACTTTAAGTCCTTCTGAGGATTATCACGAGATAGGACTAGGCGACGGCTTCACACACACACACACATACTCAATCATCAAAAAGTGTCGATTATCCAAAAATATTGTTCCGTCTATTGGCAACATTTGTGATTTCACTCCAATTCTAAATACTGCGTGATAGTCCTTGTTCTAATTTCGAAGAGTATTCAGTAGCTACTTCGCACCTGAGATGATCCATTTGCTTTAATCTATAAGATTGATTTCGCAACACTTGGCTGAGCTCACAGAGTAGCGTTATGGTGAAATGAAATGCACCTTATTTAAAATTATTATTTACGTTAAATATTTCTAGACGTCCATTTTTTTCGATTGTTGAATCTAGGGAATCTAAGAATTTTCAGAACCATTTATTCCTATAAGTATATGCAGACTACTTAGACCTACCATTGAAAAAAAAAGGAAGCTTTTTGATTATGACTCATGACTGTGAATTACGACAATTAGTTTTAGTTTATTAGGGCTCATCAATATAAATTATACGTATAATTGATGAAGATTCAAGATATCGACTCTATGAATAAAACCGACAAGAATATATTGAAGCGAAAGAAAAAAAAAAAAAATTATTTAATCAAGCGAATAATTGTCAATTCAGCTGTAATTCGAAAGATAAATCTAATATAATTAATTTTCAACAATAATATTCCTGTTTATCTCTCGAAACAAATCGAGAATAATCATACACCTAAAATTTAACTTTATTTTAGTATTTTTATTATTCAAAATATAAATTATGATATGTTACACGTGGTTTCTATACGTCATTTATTGCATATCAAAGTAGTTACAAATATCGGATCTATGCCAAAACTAAGCGCGATCATTTGTGTTTTGAAACATCTAACTAGTTAACAGAAATACACGATGTTTGACTATTCTAATGACCGTGAGTCACGGCGTTTATGCCGTACCATAGTAAGTTTTCCTTCTGTCCAATTATGAGCCGACAGTCAACTACTTTTCCTAGATCTACCCTAGTCAATGTACTGAGTTCACGATACCCTGCTGCCAGTATGCTTCAAGAAACTTTGGGTGTTTTATGAGTTTTTAGCATTTGATTACGAAATGCTTCAATCTACTAACTCGTTGAAAACATTTTTATAGAATGCTATAAAAACTAGGCGAATACCTAGTAAGTACCCATGTATTGAAACAACTCTTAGCAGGGTATCCGAAAAAGGTATCTTGCTGACAGGTGACACAGTACACAGATATCTGAAACTCACAAGAGAATGTTCCTAAGTGTCAAATCGCTTTTGAGTCAGAACTATGTGCAGCCATGTAAGTTTTAATGAGCTATGAATATCCTGAAAAGAGTTCGAGCTGATAACTTATTACTACTGAGGTAGTATAATTTTTAGCATAGTGTCGTGACCTCGCTCAGGAACACTAGCAAACGTGAGTTTCGATCTTCGACTAGAAACTTTACATAGACACACGCCTTAACGACTATGGTAAAACTTATTCTCGTTAAGGCATGTCTCTATGCAAGGTTTCGAGTCGAAATTTGAAAATCAGTTTTCTTGAACTAAGACATTTTACTAAAAAATAACAGTATCTCGGCAGCAGTAACCTATTAACTCGAATTCTTTTCAAGGGTATTCATAGTTCATTAAAGCCTATACATAATACACATAGTTCCGATTGAAAAGCGATTTAATACTTAGAAATATTCCTTCGTCAGTATATTTACTAGGGCGCTAAATATCTGTTGTTTTCAAAACTAAGTTGAAAAATAAAAAACATCATAAACTTTCTATAGTGAATCTACAGATAGTCTATTGAAATATGTCATTAAATAAAAATATTTTTCCAGATTAATTACAAACTTAAATCATATTTTTATTTTATTTAATTAAAAAATATTTTATTATTAACTCTATATTACTTTTTTAAAGTCTTACATGTATAGAATCCATCATCGTATCAATATTTTCTTGCTTTTTTTTTTCTAATTTTTTTTTTCTATTAATAACAATAAATATAAGAAGGCCAATAAATAGAAACATATTAATATATGTAAGAATAATTATAGCTAAAGCACCACGTATAACTGTTGGTTGACAATAATTTAATATTATTTTACTATTATATTGAACACCTTTTGAATAGGCTGTATAAACTTGAATTTGTATAAGAATAAAAAAAATAAATGTAATTGCACCAAAAGTAAAACTAACAAGACCTTAATAATAATAATAATAATATAAAATTCATATTTATTGTTTTTTTTTTTGGTTTTAATGAAACAAAAAAAAAAAACGAAAACATACCAACAAGAATTTTTGGCATTTTTCCAGATACATCACTTTGTTGTTTTTTTATTACAATCATTTTTAAAAAACCATAAGCTGTACCAAAGAAAAAAAGTGCAAATATTCCACCAATAGCCATAAGTAATGGTAAATCAGGTGCTGCTTGACATTGTTTATTAGGATCTTCTCCATTTTTAACAATATAATGAAATCCAATAGAAAGTTGAATTATAGGAATAATAAAATTTATTATAGCACATATAGTTATAAACAAATATTTCATCATTTTTTCCATCTTTATTTTGTGTAACGCTCGACTTCACTTACAATTAATCAAATGACGAAAGAATAAGAAAAAGAAATGGATGAAATTACAAATGTGACGACGAAGGAATATATGTAGTAAAAGCAAGCGTATAATGACAAAAGCAATTGGTGTCTGTAAGACACATACATGGTTGATGAGAAATAAAAATTAATGAACATAAATGAGAAGGTGAATATGAAAGAATTTTTTTTTTATCATATTTATCTCGTTTTTGTTCATATCGTTTTTGTCGACGTTTTAATGATATTGATGGTAATGTTAATGAAGCACATGCATAACCAGAAAAAAGACGGACATGTGCTTGTCGTAATATATTAAATGTATGACGCATATGTGATGATTCAAGTAACATTAATAAATTTTCATATTCAGTTTGATCAACAAGTTCACTTTTCATTTGTCGTTCTTCAATAAAATATTTTTCACGATTAAGTTTATTATTATTATTATTATTATTATTAATTAATTTTATAATATCATTAAATGAATATAATGATTGCATAGAATAATCATGAAATGCAAGTTGTCCATTAATATCAAGTTGAGCTGAAAGTAATGGATAATGTTGAAGAATCATTGAAACAAAATTTAATCGTTCATTTTCATTAGTCCAATTTTTATTAACAATTAATACAGAATGCTTTTGTCCTTCAACTCCACTACCACCACCACCACCAATACCTATACCATCTTGACAAAATGCTTTACCAAAAAGTGCACTAATTATACGTGCTTGATGTTCATCACCATGAATCTTTTAAATATAGAAGAAGAAGAAAAAAAATTATCTATGAAATATTTGTGAAATTACAAATGTAAAATATGATAGAGTTATTTTAATTCAAAATCTTATTCATTAATATGTATTATCAATATTAATTATAGTACAATGGTTACAAAAAAATCCCTAAACTTTAATCTTTTAGTCTGATTATTTGATCGCAAATGGAACATGTTGACCTCTGATCAGCCTCCATACGGAGAAGGTAGAAGATCAATATAGATTTTTATTTCACCCGAGAATATCTCAATATAGAAAACAAATCTCATGACGATAGACCCTTCATTCGACATGTCAAACAGTTTTAATTTGCCTAACTTATGAAGTATTCTTTGAATGATCTCCACATGAGAGTTGATGAAAATCGTCGAAGAGTCATCCTTATCGCCGACTAATTTCGACCATTCTCCTTGAAATTTTTCCCAGTAAATGCCATGCTCTAATCAAGTTTTCTCTCAAAACTTCACAATCGCATTTATTAATGGATAAAAAATTCTTTGTGAAACCGTCCCAAATAATGTAAGCTTCTCTGCGTCTCAAGATTACAGTGGATTGGAGTATTTTATCTATGACACAATATAGACATACAAATCTTTATTTGTTAATAGGAAAATGCAGATTAACACATTTCAATAGTGAAAAACCAGAAATGTGTCAAAGAAGTCTTTTTTTGGGCTTAAAGAACAAAAAAAAAGTTTACCAGTAGGATTGAAGTCTATATAATTTTCACCCGGTAGCGGAACTTCCTGCAGCTACTGTATGTCATGATTAGTGTAGAAAGAGAGAGAAGATGGCAGACATCTTAAGCTTTCCTTTTATAGTTTTAAATATGCAATCGGAACCATATTTATGATGTTCCAAAAGTCCGACCGACAAGAACCCATGAATAGCATCTCAGCAATTCAAGGTATTTGAATATTTTTTTTTCCGATCTGATCAGATATTTATTAAAGTTTTCAAATGTAAAATGTCTATGTCTACAGAAATCAGAATTAAAATAGTTTTATTGATGACCAAATTTGAATTAGCTACTATTGTTAAACAAAAGCTCCAAGTCGAATTCGGTAAAAACATGCCAACTTAATCGTCTATTAGAGCCATATTTTTGCTCATAACCATAAAAGGTATAATTGGTTAAACAGTTCTACGAAGAAGAGTTACATAGACCGAATACTTGATCTTTTCGAATTGGACTATGAGTAAAAACTATTTTAATTCTGACTTCTTTAGGTACAAACATTTTTATCTGAAATATATTGAATAAAATTTTAATGAATATGTGATGAAATTGTTTTTAAAAAATATTTAAACCTTTTCAATTGTTGAAGAACTATGCATAGTTTTTTTTTTTCTTCGTTCGGATTTTTGAAACATCATTTATATTTATAGTTAAATGTTTATTTTTCAATTTGAATAATACAATGTATGTTTATCGAAAGAATCAAGTACAATCGTCTAAACAGTTCTAATTTTGTTTTTTGAAATTTTTCTGATTCAGTTTTTAGCGTTGTTGAATAATTCTGATTTTTTGAACAAAAGTTACGAAATTATTCGTCAAAAAATTAAAAACAAATTAGAACGATTTTGTAAAAATCTAGATGCACTACGATATATGCAAATGTCGAAGATAAGTTTTGGAAGGATGAGAAGTCAAAAAAAGTACAAATCTACTATAATTTAATACAAAAAATTGTAATATTTCAAATCGCTCTGAAGTATCAACTGAACAAGGACATATGATACAATTGCCTACAAAAACATGAAATTAGTATGATATATTTTTTTTTTTGAAAAGAAAATAGTTGGTGAAAATTTTCCTACACCCTTCTTACAGGCCTTAGCAACTAATGCCAAGAATTATTGAGTAAAAATCTTTCTCTAACAGCCGAAGAGTGTAGGCACTAGATCTTTTTTCTTATAATTCCTTAGCAATGAAAAAAAGGTGCTGCATTGCATTAACAATTAGGTTTAGACTGTTCTCGAACATTCTAAAGCCTTTCTTCAAATTCAAATGATTGAAATAGGTTTAATATTTCTAAGTTTATCGAACTACATAATAGAGTACTGAGACCTATTATATAAATAATGAATGAGTACAACAGGTTTCTTTGTCAATTAAATCAACTATTTAAATAATAATAGTCGATTCAAATCAATCGAATTTCGAAATGTAAAAATAAATATGCCCGATCGTTTGTCTAATGATTAATTATCCTTGAAAAGGAAATATTATCAGCTAGACATTTTTTATTTAACGTATTTTATATATTTATTATAATGAAACTAACGAAGACATGTAAGTTTCACATTTTAGCCTCGAGGGGAACTATTCCGATCAACTTTTTAAAGTTATTTAAAAAAAAATTTTTTTTTTTTAATGTTATTTTACTATTGAAAAATATAATTTATTATATAGAATAAAAATGTTTTACTCACTTCAATAAACATATTTGGTTCTAGACCCCATTGAGTTGTTTGTGAAAATCCTGATCGAAGAACAATTTTATGTTGAGGAACTAATTTAGATAATACTTTTATTTGTGCTTTTCGATCTTTTTCTTCATTTTGATCGATTAATGTATTTACAAGTAAATCATGTAAATAACGACATTGTTCAAATCGTCGTTGACCAACTTGATTGCCGGGTACAGACGCAATTTGTATAAGAAAAGTACCTTTTGACGTCATTGATAAATGAATCTTTCTGACAAATAAAATATATTTCAAATGCTTTTATAGAAATGTATCACACTTGCACTGTAAGTACGAATATTTTTCTTTTCTTTTCTTTCACAATGCACCATATGGAGATAATAAAATTATCGATAAGAATGTTTTATTGCTTGTTGACAATACTTTATATTTATGATAAGATGCAATGATAAGAAAGCCGCTTATCCACTAGCACGTTTATTACAAATATCAAAAAACAAACTATTCATAGTAACTTAATTGATAAACTGACATACATAGAGTAAATATGAAAATAACTCTATAAAGCGATAGCAAGAAGTGTAGTGTACTAAGTAAAATCGATGAAGTAATAATAGAAAAAAACAAAGAACTATTCTAATAGCTAATAGAAAATGAAAATACATCACATTCTTCTATCTATACATGAATAAAACAAAGTAAAGTAACACGTGTATTTATAATCGCTGATAAAAATATTTCACGTATAACAAGCGATCGAATTGTAAATGAACGAAATGTTGCTTGATTAATAGTACTACTACCAGCACTAACAAATGTTGTTAAAAATATTGTAATTAATATAAGTTATGAAATAAGTTCACAGAAGAATCACAATATAAATAATCACTTAGATTAAATAATAATATTTTCTTTTCCTTTTTTTTTGTTTTTCATCTATGTATATTATTGAAAGAATAACTAACATGAAAAGTACATGTGGTTAATTCATTTAGTGTCAATAAACGAGCTAACTAGTCATTGAATGTTTCGAAATTCAGTGAAGTCTCAACAATAACAAAATGATAAAATAAAATGTAGAAACAACGTGATAGACCTTGAATTGTAATTATTTTCTTCTTCTTCTTGTTCTCTTTTAGTTGTACACAAAATGCATGGTTTTACTATGATCTGACATAAAAGAGGAAAAAAAAACAAAAGTAAAATAATGCGTTAACAGATAGTGTTGTCCATGATAATCGTCATCATTATTTTGGTTTCTCTTTCTTTAAAGCATTTTTTTTTAGTACATAAAATTATATGAAATAGGAAAACAAAGTCAAAACGCATCTTTTTCTTTTCAATATCAGGAATTTCATCTCACAAAGAAAAACATTGAACAAGTATTACAAAAAAAAAAGGAACAGGTGTTATTGTCTATGTTTGTTTAGTGTTACATGAGCCATAACGATCCGAATAATCAACAATTCACACACGCACGTACACGACCGTAGTTGACATAAGTAAAGCATAGAATAATATGTCCGGAAGCGCAAACATAACGTTCGTCATCGTTACTATTCATTATCGGAAAACATTCAGAAAAAGGAGACGATAATTGAACGTGTTAATACATTTGTCTGTCAATCATTTATACGTGCAACATACTTGAATAAGTGAGCAAATAATTATGTGGAAAGTTGCTATCGACCATATTGAGATCTATATTGACGATAATAATGGCGACGAACAGGTAGAGATAAAATCACATTTCAGATTGATTGATTGATATTTACTGCAGGAAAAATTAGCAACATTAAGAGAAAGAAGCAGAAAGACATTTCTTTGTTATATTGAGAAGTCACATTTCGGTGAGATATAGAAAATGAATTATGCAGCTCGTAATAGTTATATCAACTATAGGACAGCAATCACAATATCCGTGAGATTCTCGTTAAGTATGGTGTCTTTGTATTATATGGAACCTTTTTTTTTTTATATTTAGCTTAAACGTAGTTCGACCGAAATATCTCATCCATCAGCTTTACTATCTCAATCGAGTCGTGCACCATTAGTTTCATTTGATGAACACGGCGATATTCCATATCATGTCGTGGGTCGATCATCTTCATCTGTTGTTTCTTCTACTTCTCAGCATAATATTATTTTCCATTATTGCTTTAATTGTTGTTCATGGAAACGATTTCGAAATGATTTTTGCCATATTTTTTCTCAATTTTTATTTTCTCAAGTTGGTTTATCGATTCTTGTTTTTGTTTATGTTATTCTCGGTGGTCTTATCTTCTATGCAATTGAATCAAAATATGAATCACATAAGAATGAACAAATAAAACGTGAACATATACGTGGAATTCGTAATATTCGTCATATAGCTACTGATGAATTTAATTGGATGTTGAATGCATCATTTGAATTACGTTATGCACTTTGGCGTGGAATGATATCACGTCAAGATGGTTATGATAATACCGGTTGGCGTGTACATATTAATAATGAAAGATTTGATAAATTAATTGATGATGAATTAGCACGAATGCAAGGTGAACAAGAAAAATTATCAGATAAACATGATACACGAACAGATATGTCGTATAATCAAAAATGGACGTTTTCAACAGCTATGCTCTATTCAGCAACAGTGATAACTACAGTCGGATATGGAAATATAGCACCCAAGTCAATATTAGGCAAAGTTATGACATGTCTTTATGCTATGTTTGGAATTCCGATTATGATTATGTGTTTAACAAATACGGGTGATCTACTTGCTTTTTTCTTTATTAAATATTACTCTTTGACAATTAATTTCATTCAACGAACGATTAGACGATGTACACAACGACAACGACAACGAACAAAATTATCTCTTGAGGTCTGTGTAAAACAACATTTTACTAGGATAATAAATTCATTGAATTTAATTTTTATTTCTAGATAGAAAATGAGTCTATACAACATGTACCGGTTGCAGCAACACTTGCTGTTCTTGCTTTATACATTGTAGCCGGTGCTATTTTATTTTCTCATTGGGAGGGATGGTCTTATGTTGATGGTGCTTATTTTTCATTTATTACATTTACTACTATAGGTCTTGGCGATTTAGTACCTGGCAAAGGAACATTGACAGAAAATAAAAATGGCAAATCAATTTTATGTGCAATCTATCTTCTGTTTGGTCTTGTTCTTACTGCTATGTGTTTTAAATTGATGCAAGATGATCTATTTGCTATGAAACAAAAACTCTTTGCTCGTCTTGGCTTGGAAACACATCATCAAGAATCACATATTCGTGAAGATGTCAAGTGACATTTTTGATTTGTCAAGAATTTTATACGTGTTGTTTTATTTATCTAAAAATAAAGAGAGAAAATAGAATCTATTGCTTTTTCATTATTTTCTTACAATCATACACGTAAGCCAACATCATACATAACACAGGTAGAATATAGTAGAAGAATTAATTGTTTTTCAGCCAACAAAGAATAATTATTTGTTGAAGATTGTTTCACTTTCGAAGTAAAATGATATTAGCGATTTGTTTTCTAACAAAAAAATTAAATGTTAAAAACTTTCAATATCAATCAAATTGTTGCCAACATGAGGCAAAGATATAGGACATGATCAGTATGATTACATTCTATTAAAAAATGCATACATAAACATTTGAATATAATGCGAATTTTCTTTCAAATTAACAGAGAAAAATTTTGATGAAATTGACATTCATATTGCTAGAAGCTATTCATATTTTCCTATCAAGGTTATATTGTCCTAAGAAAGTCTCTCGATAGTTGATGTACTGGCTTATATTTCTTTTAAATTTCAATAGTATTTAATATTATCGATTATGAGCTTGACAATAAATCCTATAATATTTTAAGTTAAAAAAAAACGAAAGAAAAGACATCAGTCCCAGTACGCAAAATTACGTATCTAATTATATGCATTGCTTGTATATAGATCCAGGAAAATATGTAAGAGAAAAAAAAAAGACCAACCAGAGAATAATTTATTGTTTTACTATACTATCTAGTATATATACTACTACTTGATTTTAATGTCAAATATAGTCCAGTGATTCGTTTCTATGTCTGATATTCAATATAAAGCAATTTATTGTCTGAACTAAATACCATCTAAGTAGAGGTGTAAGTCAGTCGTCGATCAATGCATCGACTTACACTTTTACATTAAGTTTTTTTTGTATTCTGGGTAAAAATACGTATGAATATTTTTCTCTAGGACAATGACTAAATAACTTCAATTTGTTCGATAAAGTATTTCAATAGCTACAAAAATATATTTAAATTACAAAACAAAGTTCAACTTAATAAAGAAGGATAGAACAGTAATTAATATCAAAGTTGTTTTTTTTTTCATAGCGACTATACCAGTAATTCTATGCTTAAATGAAATTTCAACTCAAAAATAACTTTTAATAAGAGCTTTTCTTATTGACCTGGTGAGAGTATACTGATTCAGCATAGGTTGCATATTTAATGAATTTGTTGTTTGTCTCCAGTTATGCTGGAACATTTTCAAAATATTTCTATCTATTATCGGAATTTTAAAAAAAGGCCATAGGGCAAAATGCTTATAACTTTTGAACGAAAATAGCTAGAGCCCTGTAGTTTTCATCATTCGAAAGGGGAGACATGGGGACGCCTTTTCCTCCAATATTGTATACAATGAAATCATTTAAAAATCAGTCATTTCTAAAAAAACATCGAAAACATGTGTAAAAAACGGTCTGTCATTCCGATGAAATTTTGACGAAAAGTAATAAAATACGCTTAAAACTTAAAAGAACTCTATAGTTTTCGTGCGATTGAATAGACAAGTTTATTTGTTCAACAGTAGGAGGTGGAAAGATAATTATTCGAATTATATCTTGAACTATACATCTCAAGTTCCTCTATCAAGATCAGATGTCAGAACCAAAATTTCATCGGAATGACAGATAGTTTTCATGCATTTTTTCGATATTTTTTTAGAAATAACTGATTTTTAAATGATTTCGTTCTATACAATATTGGAGGAAAAGGCGTCCCCTTGACTCTCCTTTCGAATGGTGAAAACCGCAGGGTTTTAGCTATCTTCGTTCAAAAGTTATAAGCATTTTTACCCGATGGCCTTTTTTTAAAATTCCGATAATAGTGTTTTGTCCAAACATCATTTTTGGTCCCTATCAAAGATTTGCTTTCAATGATTCAAATTCAAGTTTAAAAAAAAAATTTTGAATTCATATTTAGAGAGAACATCAAATTTTGATTCTAACTGACTACTTTTCATCGTCTCAAGTTATTTCCAAGTGACCGAAAAATGAACAAACATTTTGTACGAAGACTTTCTTGGCATAGGTTATATGTTGCTTTTTTTGGCAGCGTTACCAAGAACGGATGTTTTACTAATAGTCTTTACCTTACCACCAGGAAAGAAAACAAAAAAACTAATAATCGTCATCATTTCTACTATCTTCGATGAAGTTTTTGAAAAACTGTAAGATATTGTCATATCACTTACAATTTTTTAATTATACTTCTATGTATTATGTTTTTCTTGTTCTTGTATCAATATGAAGTTTTCAATAGTCTAACTTAAAATGTACTGACATGTGCTGACATCACATTTATATATCTGTCCATTCGTTATCTCTCTGGGTATGTTTATTAGAGACATACAATGTTACATTAATCAACAAGAGAAAAGCAAAAAAAAGAAGCAATATTTTATTAATTTAATCAAAATTAGAAAATGTTACTATATCATCTTTGGTTATTATTACAAAAATCACTTCGTTATGCATGGCGTTGTCGTCTATGTCATTGTTGTCCTAAAATAATATTTGAATTACTTGTTCCTGTAATATGTCTTCTTGTTTTAATTCTTATTCGTTGGATACATACAACATCTGAAACTAATAATAATGTTTCAACCTTTAATCAAACAAAATCTACACCTATTAAATTACAACCATCTTCAATTATTGCACAACGTGAATCTATGTATATTTTTAATTATACATCAATAAATGAATGTCCATTGTCAGATATAATAATAAAAATAGTTGATAATAATTTATTAAATCGTCTCAAAAGTCAATGTCCACATAGTAGTTTTATTTCAATATCAAAACCTGTAGGACATAATGGATATTTTTTACTTAATAATACTTCAACAGGACTTAGTATTAGTTATCAATGTCAATATGATAATCAAGATTTATGTCAAAATATTAGTATATTAAATGATATAAAAGATTCACAGTTAATTCAACATCCATCATTATTTCTATGTTCAAATAAAAATTTTAATGAAGCAAATAATTTATTACAAGTTTATCTTGCAATTGTATCTCAAATAAACCCATCAATAAAAAAACAACAATTATCTATTTATACATGGCCATGTTTATCATATGCATCTGATCCTATGTTTGACATAGCACCATATTTTGTATTAATTATTATTCTTTTTTTTATTGATGGATGTATTTTATCGAGTTTTAATTTACTTTTTCATTCTTTAATTGATGAAAAAAATCAAGGAATAATTGAACTTCTTCGTCTTATTTCTATTCGTCCAATATTAAATAGTTTTGCTTGGTTTCTACGAGTTTTTTTTATACAATTAATAGCAAATATATTATTAATTTTAATATTAAAAAGTTCATTCGATGGAGGTATTTATTTATCATATGTATCAATTTGGTTAATTATTCCAACGATTTTTATTTGGACTATTCAAGTTCTTTCACGAGCTGTACTTATTGCTCATTTTTTTAATAGTAATTTAAAAGCAACAGTTTGGTCATGGTTTATTTATATTATTTCATTTTGGTTAGCACTTTCATCATCTATACGATTACCAATTCTTTTTCATTTTATTGCTTCAATTTGGTTACCATTTTATTCAATAAAACGTTTATTTATTCTTCTCTTTCGAATAAATACTAATTTAGGTCGTAATGATTTAAAGAATGAAGTTATATTAATTTGGTTCTATATGTTAATTGGTAGTCTTCTTATGTGGTTTTTAGCATATTATCTTGAAAAAACTCGAGCAGGTAAATATGGTATTAGACGTCCATGGACATGGCCATTGGATTATTTTTGTAATAATCAAATAAAAAATCAAAAACGACGTGAAAGTATTGATATGCAAATGGTTGAAACATTACCTGATACAAATACTACAGTTCGAGTAAATAATTTAACTAAAATTTATGGTCGATTTAATACAGAAAAACAAATAGCTGTTGATCATGTTTCATTTAAACTTGAAAAATCTACAATCTATGGTCTTATTGGTCATAATGGTGCAGGAAAAACATCAACAATGGAAATGATGTCTGGTTTATTATCATGTGATCGTGGTACAATTGAAATTCATAATAAAGATTTACATGAAAATTTATATGAACTTCAAAAATGTATTGGTTATTGTCCACAACAAGATATGCTTTTTTCACATTTAACTGTACAAGAACAATTAGAATTTTATGCACGTGTTCGATCAAAAAAACATAATATTGATTATAATCAAATTCAAGAATTACTTACTATGATGAATATGAATACATATAGTAAATATTTATGTCATACATTATCAGGTGGTATGCAACGAAAATTATCAATTTTATGTGCATTTGTTGGTCATGCTAATGTTATTATATTAGGTAAGAAAGAAATGTTTTAATTAGAATAAAATTTAAAAAAAAAAAGCTATTAGCACAATTCCTGTAAGATTACTTTATTTTATCTGTTTTTGGACACATTTCTTCACGGTTATTTTAATCCTCTAGAAATGCAATAAGGAAGTAGTTCATATATTATGGATATAAAGTGGTGGAAAAAAGTTTAGAAACAACGATTGTTTTTTTTTTGGTTTTTTTCATAATGTTAAGCAAGTAGCTTCAATCCAAATAGTGATTTTAATAGCCAATGGAGTTTTATATTCAATACATTTTATAGCAAGATTTCACAGATGAACAATGATGGCAAGGCTTCTAAAAAACCGAACATGGTATTTGTCAGGTTCTAGAAGGCTTTGCTAGAGCTATTTTTGAACAGTACCATCTTAAAAAGTATAAAATTCTGAGCAAAATGAGGGATCGTCTAGTTTTCTACGACTTCCTCATAAAGAGTTACAAGCATTACAAAAATCATGAAAAAAGCGTTTTTAGTCGATCTTTAAAAAAATTTCGTTTTTTCATGATTTTTGTGATGCTTGTAACTTTTTACGAGAAGTTCGTAGAAAACTCGGCGACTCCTCATTTTGCTCAGAATTTTGTGCTCTTTAAGATGATACTGTTCAAAAATAGCTCTGGCAAAGCCTTCTAGAACCTGACAAATACCATATTCGGTTTTTTAGGAGCCTTGTCGTCATTGTTCATCTTGCTATAAAGTGTATTGAATAGAAAACTCCATTGGTTATTAAAATGACTATTTGGATTGGAGCTACATGCTTAACATTATGAAAAAAACCAAAAAAATCGTTGTTTCTAAACTTGTTTTTCATCACTTTACAGCCTTTGGTCGTATATCAAGAACGTCTTTGACGGAGAGGAGAATGTTGATCAAAATTTTTACCCATATACTTTAACACGTATTTTAGAACATGTTTTACAAAAAAAAAATTTATTTAGATGAACCATCATCATCACTTGATCCAGTAGCTCGTCGAACATTATGGTCATGGCTTCGAGAAAATAAAGCTAATCGTACATTATTAATTTCATCACATTTATTAGATGAAGTTGAAGAACTTTGTGATTCAATTATTATTCTTGATGCTGGTAAAATTCGTGCACAAGGTACAATACTCGAATTGAAACAACAATTTGGTCCACCTGGTGATCGACTTCATTTAGATAGAATACCAAAATATATACCAAAAGAATGGATTATTAATGAAAAAACTCATTTTATACAAATTCCTAATAGAAAACAATTAATTCATGTACTTGAAAATTTAGAACAAGATAATATAAAATATTCATTAGAAAATATTACACTTGACGATATATTTTTAAAATTAACTTCATCGACAGAAGGTTTATCTTCAGGTAACAAAAAAGAAAAAGCAAATATCTTATTTAAAGAAATTTTCCTAATCAAAACGTTTTTGTTTTTCATATGCTTAACATGAACAGACTTCAAGATGTGTTCATGATAGACTTATTTCTGATTTTTGTTTTCGTTATACATTTTTAGAAGAAAGTACTGTCAAATCTTCAATAAATACATTATTTAATGCCCGAACAAGTACTCAACGAAGTCATCTATGGGCTCAACAAATTTTCGGTGTATTAATTAGACGTGGTCAAGTTTTTTTAAGACGAGCTCGTTTATTACCAATTATAATACTTCTTTATGTGGTTTATGCTCTTGCACCATTATATATGCCATCATTTGTTCCAGCATCTGTATCATCTAATGAATATGTTCGTTATATTATTTCATCTCATTCTAATTTAATCAATACATTACCATTGAAAAATTTTGATATAAAATTTACTCCATCATTTTATTCAACACAAGAATTTAAACAATATCTATTAGGTGAGTATGCTTAATTAATTATTATGATTTTTTATATTCAAAAATTATTGTTTTTCGATTCGATAACTTGATAGTTTTTAAAGTATACGGATAGAAATTTGGACTTCGCTTCACAGACGCGACTAGAATTATGCAAGGTCACGGAAAAGAGAAATTGTTGAGACTACGTAGGTAAAGCTGGCACCAGATTCAAGTTTTTGCCGCCCGACTTCGTTTGTGTACTTGAGTTAGACGCACAATTTTACGGGGAATCCGATGGTGTAAAGATTAGGGGGGGGGGGGGGAATCATCAAGCAAAAACTGGCACTTGATCCCGAAATACTGAATTTTTCAAAGTTTTTTGAAAAGTATTTGCTGTTCGGATTCGCTATTTTACTTGGATTGGGTCTAAAAATGGTTGAGTTGAATTCAGCATGAAATTCTGCATCGAATGATATTGATTTAGTATAGGATCATCGGGCAAAAATTTTTCACCTTACCCAGCAACACCCCCTCATGGTGACCCTCACCCTCACCCATATGAAAAATTTTTTGTTCGATGATCCCATACTAAATCGATATCATTCGGCGCAGAATTTCGTGCTGAATCCAACTCAACCATTTTTAGACCCAACTTGAGTAAAATAGCGAATCTGGACAGCAAATGCTTTTCAAAAAATTTTGAAAAATTCAGTATTTCGGAGTCAAGTATCAGTTTTTGCTTAATGACTTCCTTGATCTTTACAATATCGGATTTGCCGTAAAATTCTGCATCTAATTTAAGTTGAACGAAATATAACTCAAGTACACGAACGAATCTGGTGCTAACTTTACCCATGTGTTGAGACTCGGAACTGCTCAAAAAGAAAAACTATCGGAACCAAAAATGCATGGTCTCATACATCTCTAGATATGACATACTTTGTTAATATATGATTACACATTGTATATCAATAACGTCTCATTATATAATATATGAAGTACATATTGCATTTCTGAACGATTAAGTCAAAGAGATGGCGCTAGGAGGTTTTTTTTCCTTGACTCTTGTGATTTCATAATCTTTTGAAATTATTCAATAATTTTTAATAGGAATAAAAACATGGCAATCAGATAATCATCGTCAGAGAACATTAATTGGTCTTCGAATACCATCTTCTGATCATCTTGAATGTTATGTTCCATCACCAATCTTACATAATGTAATTCGATTTTGTTTTCCAATATTTACATTATTTTATAATCATACATTTATTCCATTAAATTTTATTCGTCATGATGTAAAAAATCCTTTATCAGAACTTTCGACTATTCCCCTATGGAAACATGATTCATTATTTTATTGTTTTTATGCATTACCATTGAGATTTCATTTATCAATTATATTACTTTCACTTATTTTAATTATTTGTGCTGCATTAATTATTCAAGATTATAAATCAGGTCTTCATTCATATTCACTTATTCATGGTCTTCGTTCACCGATTCATTGGATAATTATATTTCTTAGTGATCTTATTTTATGTCTTCTTTGGCTTCTAATTCTTATTCTTATTGCACGTTTTGTTCATTCATCAACATTTAATAGTCGATTTTTTGCATTAACACCATTATTTTTTATTGTTAATCTTCCATTTATTTATTTAATAGCTAAATTATTTAATTCACCAATATTAGGTGCTACAATAATTATATTTATTCTTCAACTTGCTCATGTATTCTATACATTAAAAGTATTAATTGAACTTTTTCAAAGTTATCGTGTTATTTGGACAATTATACGTATTCTACGATGGTTACTTGTAGTTATTTTTCCAAATGTAAATGTATATACATTAATAATAACTATTCTTCGACCATATTCATGTCCAATGGATGATTCAAAATTCGAAAAAAAAGAAGATTTTTCAACTGAACGTTATCCACATAAATTACTTATTCATATATTAATATTCATTAGTCAATTTATTCTCTATTTTGTTTTATTGATTATTATTGATACATGGAAATTACCAGTATTATATCATTGTAGAAAAAGTATTATCAATGAACAAGAAGAAGATAATGATGTTGTAGAAGAAAGACATCGAATAGAAACAATGAATAATGAAGAAAAACAACGTGAAGCTCTTATTGTTGAGAATCTTTCTAAACGTTATTTTGGTTCACATTTTCCAGCTGTTAATCGATTAACATTTGCTGTACCTCATCGACAATGTTTTGGTCTTTTAGGATTTAATGGAAGTGGTATGTTTTAAACTATTGAAAAGAGAATAGAAGTTGATCGATTTTGTTTCAATAACATATAATGAAGATCATTATTTGTTAGACAAAGTTTCTTCTTGTGTACGAAAAAAAGAATATCTTAGAACTTTTTTGGACATAGGAAATCGTTTATTATTTTGCGACCACTAATGATCGCAGATGATCAACTTTAATCGGACCAGTACAATAGGCTGATCTATTAGTTGTCTTTTATTACCAGAATGAGAATAGTTATGAGACGCTGTTGGAACTATCTTATTAATGAAATCATCTACTATGAAATTATTCACATCAGATAGCAAAATGTTGAATCACTAAGATAGTTTCGAAACAATGCGTTCGAATTTGAAATCGAGTTTGAAAATTTTAGCTTCAATAAGAGAAAGTCTATCAGCACTTATTTTTTGGCATTCTACTGTATAAATAAAAGACATGACATACGAGATGCATCTATTCAGACTAACATATCATATTAATATTGTATTTATCTTAGGTAAAACAACAACATTTCGAATGTTAGTTGGAGAATTACGATCAACTGATGGTTATATTTATAAAAATAATAAAGAATCAATTGGTTATTGTCCACAAGATGATATTAGTTTTTCAGCATTAACTGTTCAACAATCTATTGATTATATATGTCGTATTCATGGTCTTAATCCATCATTGTTAAATAATTTAATATTATCTCAATTTCAATTAGAAAAATATCGTCATCGTTTAGTATCACAATTAAGTGGTGGAACTCGTCGTCGTCTTCATTTAGCTTTATGTCTTATTGGTTCTCCCACACTTCTTTTACTTGATGAACCAACAGCTAAAGTTGATCCATTGTTACGTAGTCATATTCGACTTTTATTATATCATCGTCCAATAGATACATCAATTATATTTGCTTCACATTCAATGCTTGAATGTGAACAATTATGTGATCGTTTAACAATTCTTGTTCATGGTAATGCAAGATGTTTAGGTTCAATTCGACATCTTAAAGATAAATATGGTATGGATTATCGTATAAGATTAACACCACTTCAATTATCATTTGATATACCATTACTTAAACGTATTGATAATACTAATGAATATATATATCCAAAAATTAGATTATCAAATCTTTTCAAAATATTAGAAGAGTTTGTTGAAAAAAATATTATTGCATCAAACTATACAGTACAATTAACATCATTAGAACATATATTTTTGGGTTTTCAACATACTCTTGATACTATAGTTTAATCACTAGCGTCAGATTTGTTTAGATTACGTAGTATGTTTAAATAATACGCATTAAATTCATGTTAATGTTTGTTTTCATGTTAAAAATATATATAAATAGGACAATTATATCTAATCAATTTCATGTTTTTTTTTTATTAAAACTACTATGTGGTCATAAGTATTTTATAAAATAGATTTTTTCGTTAAATTTCATTTGAAATGACTCTAATTTTGTTTTTGTAAATGATCAAAGGACAATGTTTGTCTTGATTTTATCTCATTAAATATACATAAACAATAAATGAAGCATTACAAAAGAAGAAAATAGGAATAACAAAAAAAAATAAAGATATGTATTGTTGCATCTTGAAATACTGTTACAACATGTATTCTCGCTTATCATATGAGTGTGAAGGTTCAATTGTGTCAGACTGTATCGAACAAGACATTTTCGATTGAAAACTAGTGATGTAGGAAACTACTCGATGATACACGATGTCAATGTGATAGAATGAACGTTGGCTCCTGTGTTCTTTTTGCTAGATGTGTTCTGTGACAAAAATTAAAAAACAGCTTTCGTTCGAACACGTATCTATTCAAAAGAGGTAAGCATCAACAATTGTTCTAGTATTTAATTTCGTCTTGAAACATTTTGATCGAAAACATAGGTTAATATTTCATCTATTACTTTTGCGTCATAGATTATTGATTAATATGTTTCGAACACTCGTAAAAAAGAAAACAACGATGTCATTATCGTTCCATAATACTAGTTGAGTCTACGAAAGCTACGATCTTATAACTATCTGATTGTACATAAAAACAATAATCTATTCAAGTTTCAAGAAATTTGATCATATTGTATGATGGAACAGTAAATTTTGCAAACGTTTTAGAACTAGGAAGACATTCTTTATATCATTTTATCATGTGCATTCCGTACCCTTATGAAAACTTTCAGTATCGAATAATTGTGCTCGAAAAATATTTGATCCAAAAAAAGAAAAATGAATCAGACTTCCTGATTTAGATCGTGTTCAAATTTGATTTTTATCAATTGAGTCGCCTGTGATTCCAAAAGGTTAACTCGCATAGAACTCTTTAAAAGAGACAAAAACAGACTATCATCTTACTTAATTAAAACTTGTACTGATTTTTTAACGTTAACTCCCTTTTTTTTTGATAACTCAAATGTCATAAAAGCTTCTTTAGAGAGCATCCATAAATGATGTACGGTTATAAATCGCCTTTTTTTTAAATCTATTTCTCTGTCTCTCCTGTCTGGGCTTGTCTGATTTTGGCCCACCCCCTCTCTTAAAGTAATACGACTGTTGCATTTCATACAGATCCTCATATGGCATTTGTTTCCCGGACACTTGCTCTTGTGATAGTGTGGCCTGATGGTGAGGAGAAAGGAAAATGTTAGATCGGAGATAGAGGCTAGGACGAAGGTGAAGGGAAGGATGAGGAACAGAAGTAGGTTTATATATAATTTCTGTACTTGTCTAATTTGTTTTTTATTGGTTGTAGGTCTAAGTAAGAACCGTAGGAAAATGTCGCGGGAGCAACGGTGTAGAAAGCAACAGGCGTAGATCCCTCTCTTGGATGTCCAATGTTAAAAGATTTTGTTCGAAAAATACAGTTGTCTAGGTGCATTGACTTTTTTCTTTTGAACCACAGTTTATTAACTAAGGATATAAGACGAAGCAATGAAGCACACTCTGTTGAATCTTATCAAATCCTAATGATTCTAAATAAACCTTGGCAGAATCCTTTTTACTAGATTTTGATATTTTCACATATTCTAACTTTAGTAAAAAGTTGATCATCAGATTGTTTTGGATTTTGTCGGATTCGAGAGCTCTTTCGAAAGTGTCTGACGGAATCCGATTATTGGATTCTTCGTAACGTGTATATATCTGAAGGTATGGGTGTGGACCGATATCTTCTCTTCTCCTACATCTACACCCAGTCTGGTTTCTTCTCGAAAAATAATTCGAGTGGGTAAGGACAACGGAAAGACTCCCATATCATCTCTCTAATCCATACCACATTCTCAAGCTTCTGACATTTCATTTTTCGATGAGAAGCAAACAAAAAGTGTCAGCGGGAGAGTAGGAGAATGATTATAAAATCAAACATGGATAAGTCATCATATAAAAATGAACTTTGAACTCTTTTTTTATCGCGCGGAAAGTATTTAGAGGTCAATCAACATATCGATATCTGATGAGAGGATCGTAAGTAGGTGGTGCGATACCAATACCAACGCGGTGAACCTTTTGAGTAGGTTCTGGATATGTAGGTTCGACAAATGTACACTGAATATTTCGTAGAACAAAAGCGACGCATATTTTGATTTCGTTCCTAGCGAAAAATCGTCCAGGACACATGTTTTTGCCCGCTCCAAAAGGCATGAATCCGGTCAATATTTGCTGATTTGCGAATCGATCAAATTTGTATACATTAGGTTCCTCGAAAAAGTGCGGATCTCGATGGACTGCAGCCGGGAATAAAGCGACGGCATCACCTTGTTTAACCTCGAATGTTCGTCTGTCGTGCAAGGTAATTTTCGTTGTGCGACTGCACTTTCTCAGGGTCATCGGAGTGCTCACCATGCGTAAAGTCTCATTGACTGCACTGTCGAGATAAACACATTGATCCAAAGCGTCTTTCAATCGCTGCATGTCTAATTCATCGATGTTATAATTCAGATTAATGTAAGATACCTTAGAGACAATCTCTTCACGAACCGTCTTCAGCGCTACTGGATTTTTCAAAAGATAATACAAGCACCAGAAAGTGGCTGGTATAGTGTTACCAAGAGACGCCCATAGAATGGCAGTTTGTGCACCGGCAAAATCACTCTCAGTAAACCACTCAGGATGATTGCACATGAACGTAGTGCGCTGGCGAATGAACTCGCTCTCGTTCGTTGGATGACTATGATAGAGTAGCCATGAATGATTGAGGCGTGCTCGTGCTTCAAGTTCACGTCGCCAGAACCACGGATAGATCCATGTAGGAAGAAGAGCAATAAAAAAGTGAATATTAGCATCAAACGTAGTAAAGTCATGTTCGAGTAATTGCAGCTCGATGTCGCCGAACAATGTACGTGTCGACGCAAAGAAGATTATTCGATGGCATAAATTCAGTAGACCACTGGTATGTTCATCACCTTTTAAACTTACCTTCTCAAGAATAATGCATTCTCGGGTAAACTTGGCAAAGACGGAAATCAAAGAGTTTAGGGCTTCAGTACTTTGCAAGTATTTAGCATAATAACGATGCAATTCAACATCCATATCAGGATGATCTAAATAAACGACAGTAGACGAGAATATTCAATTCAACGGCCTACATACTGAAACAACTCAATGAAATGTCGAATGTTTGAGCTGCGAATTCGGCTCCGGGAAAATACAATGAAGAATTACGTGTTATTGCCGGCCATTCTCTGGGATCGAGGATAAAAGTAATCCGTTGGGAAAATAACTTAATGCTAAAACACGAACCGTATCGTTCTTTGGCATTGAGTATGAACTTGGTTCGATCAGCAAGAAAGGCGAATAAGTGACCTACCAGTGGATATTGTTTGTCGACAATAGGAACTGAAGTAGAGATGAAAAGACGATTTTGAATGACGATTCGATAGAGAAAACAGAAGACTATAAAAAGCAAGACGATGAAGATTACCATTGTTGGTCAATGCTCATCTAAAAAATATTGTCTCTAGCCATTAGTAAAAATTAAACGACTCGATCGCTTATACTAAACAAATTTATTTCATCTCCAAACTATAATAGGGGAAGTATCGACATTCGAAAATATTTTTGTCTGTCAAAGCATATAGTCAAAGCTATTCTTGAAAACTAAATGAATAATATTCTATGCTTGAGAATAACAGGAACAGTTCTCTGCGCGATGTGCGAATGTGCTTGATATATCGACGCAAAATCACTCCGCAAAATATGTATAGAATCAATTTTTCTCGATTCTTTCTAAAAATAATAGAGGCAAGGATGAGAATGGCGAGAAAACTCTTACCTTCATCCATACATCTACTCTCTCATCTGATTTCAGCATTGAGTTAAGCGACGATTGATGCATCAATGCATTACTTAGTGTTGAACTCACTATAAAAAAAGCATTTCAGGGCAGTTCATGATGAGACTGAAGTATGGAACTCACACTCAAATATCCTTTGCGACACAGTACAGTTTTTAAAGACTCAGAAATCTCTTTTGAAAATGAGAATAGATCGAATAGAATGCTTCTCGCTATATTTGTTCATTTAGAGTGTTTTCTGAGTTCTTTGATGGTCGAGGTACTCTTCGTTCTTCTACTATTGTTACTGTATGGTTGTCGCTCATTTCTCTGTTCATTTCATTTTTATTGGTCATCATCGGCTTGGTTTTGATTTGAAGCTCGAGTGGGGTGTGAAAGAAGGCAAAATATCGACTCACACTCCACATCCACACGCTCGCACACATTCGAACCCAAGCGGATCCGGGTAAGCTTGAAGGGGCGTATGATACAGGAAGAAACAACCATATCTGCAGCCCACGCCCATACTCCACGTACGTGTCTCTGCACGGATATGCCTTTGCGTGGAAGTGTGCCTGCACGGAAGTGTCTTTACGCGGAAGTGTCTCTGCTCGGAAGTGTTCTTGTACGGAAGTGTTTATACGCGGAAGTGTCTCTGCCCGGGAGTGTTCTTGCACGGAAGTGTTTATGCGCGGAAGTGTCTTTGCACGGAAGTGTCTCTGCTCGGGAGTGTTCTTGCACGGAAGTGCTTATGCGCGGAAGTGTCTCTGCATGGAAGTGCCTCTGCCCGGAAGTATCGAGTGCGAAAATGTTGAAACTATCATGTGTGAAACTGTCTTGCCACGGAGGAGCTCATATGAGTGAAGCTACACATCGACTCTGTCAATGTCGTGACAGATAGAGACATCAGTGATCAGTCATATGACAGTATACTTAAGACAACACGACAAGAAATGCTGGCAATTAATATCGTTGTGGAAAAATGATCAAGCGTCTGCATGGAACCACGAGAATCGTTGTTTCGGCTCATGAAAGACTTCAAATATCTGGCCACATATTTTCATGCTGAGTACTAGCGAAGTGAATGCGAGCATCAGATGAAAACCAAACAAAAGATGAATAGAAAAACGAACTAAGAACAAAAATGACTTACAGCTGCATAGTAACAATGGGAGAAGAACGAAGAGAGCCTAGACGATCAAAGAATTCAGAAAATATTTGCAATGACAAGCTGAGAGAGACTGCTTCGATTTGACCTATTCTCGTTTTAGACAGAGATTTCTATACCTTTAAAGTCTTCCATGTGATGCCATAGGTAATCGAAAGTGGTTCCATAGGTTAGCCCCATCAGAGGAGGCACTGGCAAGCTTGTTTCGAACAACTGCTATTTTTGGTTAGCACCGGAGAGGGTTTAGATGATTTCTAAAACGGTAATTTTTCCAAAAGGTCGAGAAGTTGTCAGAAAGAATGGAAGTATCTTGTGCCTGTGATTGAAGCAGAACTAATAATTGCAGCTCCATCTCATTCATGCTTAGTTTTACCGTTTACATCACACCAGAATTATCCTTACACATGTACAAGGTAGAATATAATAGTTTTCTAGGGAGCACCGGTAAAATGATGAACAATTTCATATATGATTTTTTACCGTTTGAAAGCTCATGGAAAGTGGGACTTATGAGTAAAACTGGCAAGCCATGTAGGTATTACAAACTGTAAAATTATGGGATTTTTCAAAGTTCTCACAGAATATTTTGAAGTTCAGCCAGTTGTCTGTGATAAAAAGAAAATACTGTGGAAACTTTTTGTCACTTATCAAGGTTTGCAGAGCTGTTTGTATTGATCATTTTCGTAAAAGAATTTTGAAACTCGATTGAGAAATGATCGTACTGAGTGTAACATATTCAAAAACTACTTGACTTCACGGTCATCTCATGTAAAAAAAAAGTAATGCGAAAAATCGATTTTAAATCGAGTAAAATCATACACCTTTAGTCGATTATAATTTAAAAAATCATTGATAATATCAAAATTTCATCGATTATTCTGATAATTTTGGATTTAAATCGATTTAATAATCATGAGGAAATCGATTATAATCAATGTAAAATATACAAAACGGGATTAAAACTCTACCACTTTTTATCACACGAAATTGATTAAAAATGATTTTTTGCATGATTTGAAAGCGGTTTAAATAGAAAAATCCAAATAATTAATGAAATTTTGATATTTTTAGTTATTTTTTATTATAATCGATTAAAGGTGTATGATGTTAATCGATTAGAAATCGATTCTTTTGTGATTATTATAAAATAGTTTTTTTGCATGGAACACCCCTTTGGTGTTGTTCAATATTTGAAACCCGACGCGTTCATTTCTCAATCAAATTTCAAAATTTTTTTTACGAAAATGATCAACAAAAACAGCTCTGCAAGCTGTGATAAGTGACAAAAAGTTTCCACAGTATTTTCTTTTTATCACAGACAACCGGCTGAAGTTCAAAATATTTTATGAGAATTTTGAAAAATCCCATAATTTTATAGCTTGTAATACTTACATGTTTTGCCAACTTTACCCATAAATCCTATTTTCAGCAGGCTCTCGAATGATAAAAAACTCATATCTAAATCATTTATCGTTTGAGTAATACCTTTCTAAAAATATGACTTCCTACCCTCTAGAAATGTGCATATAATTACGCGCTTCTAAATACTTGTGATTAGTAATATGAGTGAGTAAAAAAATAAACTTCACTTCACCAAATCGAGTGCAAATATCCCGTCGACAACGATTAATAACTTCTTTCGTTTCGATTAATTTTAGTGTTTAGTTGAATAAGCAACCTGAAAGACTGAATACTGCTTGTTACTTCCGTTTCGACGAGCACTCTGATTTATGAGAATATATTGCATACATTCTTGAAATAATGTTTTCATGACTCATGTACTTTTTTATGTAGGATTATTACGCCGTTTCTCGAATGAATATAAGAATACAGTCGATATATATAAATTGATCGTTGCTACACTTAGGCAGAAATACGTAACTTGAAAATTTTATCAAACCACCCAATCGAAGAATGGCTTTGATTAATCAATTTATGTTTGTCGTTATAATTCAAATTCTATTGAGCAAAGTGCAAAGTCGGACTTTGGACACCTTTAACGAAACGAAATTGTCAAACTTCACAAATTCCACGAAATCTCGCGCGTTTTGTATAGGCTATGGAGCTCAATTTTGGGCTGGATGTGCTGAAGACATGCTTAATAGTGGGAGTGGATGTTTCGCTGGTGATGGTTTAGTTCAGCTAGCTTCGGGCTCGTACAAGACTGTTTCAGAACTTCGTGCAGGTGATCGTGTCCTGGCTGTAGATGAACACAAGCCTGAGCTTATTGTGGAAACAGATGTCATGATGATTATGCATCGTGTTTCGGATGAATATGGTATGAATTAAGAAAATAAGTAGCAGGAAATATTTTTCGAGACTTGGCATGGAAGTTAAAATCACATTGTACTAAAGTCAGTGCATAGTTAGAGTTCTGATGTGAATGAGTCGGTGAATGAGAAGAAGACCCTTTCAATATCTACACTATATCTAACTACTAATTGGTCAAGAATGCAAAACAAATAGTAGTCGCAGTTCTAACGAAACATCTACCAATGCTATTGTTTAGAATGTAATTGTTCAGAATAAAGAATAGCCATTACAAACTTTATCCTGTAGTCGAGTAGGATTTTTCAGAAAACGGAAAACATCGAATCTCTTACTGGGGATTACCAGCAATGTTTCGATTTCCATAAAAGAAAATTTTAGAAGATTGGAAAATGTCATATATGGATAGCTTCAACTTTTCGCTGCTTCGAAATTTCTTATATTTTTGAAAACCTCCGTCCCCTCGTTAGTACTGAATTTTGCGAAATTTCAAAAATGACCGTAATTTCAGAAATTTTCAAACTTTCTAAAACTTGTCGTTTTACATTGCTGCGTGATTACCAAAGCTTCTTGAAGTGGCTTGCAGGTAGATAAGAATCTTTTCTCATCTCTGTCTCATCCATTCTCATACTTATGGGGTCATTCACTCTTTTCTACAAATCGGACCATATCGCCACAAGACTCTTTTTCTCTTAGCCATGCTGGAACAACCAAGTTATACATTTTCCGAATTGAAACTCTTTAAAGTATGTGAATAAACAAAAAAAGCCTACAATTCCAAGATGAGAACCGAAAATGACAGATTTGCTCATTTTTTATGTGCAAAAGCTTTCAATGTAATCTCTGTGGAATTTAAATGTGAAAAATTGCATTTCTTCCACTCGCTGAGAAGCACCCTGAGCATGTCAATCATGTTGTTCTTGAGATTGAGATCAAGTAAAATATCGATATAACTGCTATGATCTGTAATGTTAGAGAGATTTATCTACTCCATCTGTCTATGAAGATCAGTAACATTATTGAGCCCTCTGTCGATTCTATCTAACTATGACAATGTGCGGCTAGGTCTGAAAACCGACATGTTGAAATGCCTGCCATGGCCTGTAGGGTGGGTGTAAAAGAGGGAAGAGGTCACTTTTCTCGCTATATACTTCAGCACTCATTAACAATCGTATTTCACAAAATGATTCGTTCTATACAGATATAATTGTATAGCACTTAAAAATAAAAGACTGATTAAAGTAATCCTTTGTATCAATGACATGAAAAGTTGCTCTCTTCAATAAAATGAAGTCCAATGTTTGTTTGCAGCTGTATTCTATGTTGTTGAAACTGAAGATCATGAATTAATCTATATGACACCTGGACATTTTGTACCCATTTTGGGAAGAAATGGTATGAGGACCTACGTACAGGCTCAAAAATTGACAAAGGCAGATTACATATTCGTGCAATCAACGGCAACTAGCCGACTTAGGCCATCAAAAATTGCTAGTATTACAATTGAAGCAAAACTTGGTTATTATTCACCACTAACGACGACAGGTGAACTAGTACAAGATTTAAATATCTAATCTTGTGATTGCTCTTTGTAGGCACATTAATTGTCAACAACATTGCCGTGTCATGCTACTCAAATATAATTAGTCATGAAATAGGTCAATTTGGCATGGCTCCGATCCGATGGATTCATGCCATTGTTCGATATTTGATGCCACGTATCAAAGCGCCATTCCAGGATGATAGTTTAAACAAGGTTCATTGGATTCCGGATATAATGCAAACTTTGGCTAAAACATTGGTTCCGCAAATCCTCACCAATTATTGAATCAACTTTAAGAGAGAAACTACATGTTTTTAATCAAGAAAAATATCAATGCTTGTAAACTTTTATCTATAATTATCATTGTAAGACATCCATAAAATAAAGAAAAACATTGAATAATAACAATAACGGATGGTTCGCATATGTGTTTGTCTCTGGTAGTGTGGAGATTCGTGTATGTGGGTGTGGGTGTTGGCAGTCAAAGCGAGAACTGATACCCAGAACGACCCACACCAGAGCATCATTTTTTCGAATCTCCGGCAATCCAGGACCGTGGAACCAAAGTGCATTAATAATGTGTCGATTTTGTTGATGAGTATTGTTGTAATGCTGTCTCCTTCGTTCTTCGACACGAAGTTTGTATAAAGAATGAGTCGCTGTATAATAGTTTCGCGTTAACTACGAGGATGCACACGTTATCAAACCTTTATGAGGATGTGCTGAGCTTTTCAAAAACTTATTTTGAGATATTGATTCAACATGATAACCTGCGTGTTCTCAATTGAAAGTTACTCAGACAGAATGGTCAAGTTTACATTTAATCAAGCAGTAGAGTTTTATTTATATGGTTTCCTATCCCGTTAAAGGGTTCTTTGGACTACTAAAGATGATTCCTTCTCAAAACTGTTTCGAGACAATCCAGGCTGGTTTTTCCGTAAAATTGTAGAGCCCAGATGGGTCTTTCGACTTTTCAAGCTCACGAGGGAATCGTCCGAAGCGATTAACCGCTTTTGAGCTCATACTTTGAGGACATAGAGGGTACCTC